TTGATACATATAGAAATAGATAGGTAATACATAGAGGATGAGTCAGATTGTCGATACGATTTAAAACAACCATTATGACGTTATAGATGTGCAACAGTTAAAACTTAAAATGTGAACTTTATTGTGATTTTTTCATATATTATACATAATATTTGTTATTCTACASTAATTAAGGTTAAAAAAATATTTACGTACTTGGATATTCCTAATTATTGATGTCGAATAGAAATGTAGAAACACATTATATATTGTAATTGTAAAGAGTTTTGTTACAGTTGTTATCTATTCATGTTTTTCAACGTTTACACCTACCTACCTAATAATATATACACAGTAATATGAACTCTGTAATAATATTAAATACGTCTTAATGTATATTATGTATATTTGTTGTTTGTATACAAAAACTGATAAGCACCAATTTTTACACTAGATAAAAAATCCTACCTTATAATAAAATTAATTAATTTAGTTGTCATCTGRCGATTAAATAGGTCTTCTTTAACAAGCCCGTGCACAATTATTGTAAAGCCATGATGGCATTTCAAAAACTTTTATCTCTCGTTTTTCTACTTAGTGATATTTATACCACAATAATAATACTGATATATTAAGCCATCCAAGTGTGGTGACAACATCTCAGCCACCACTTTTATCCACGCGTTCTTGCATTTCCAACAATACAAAATATAAAAATATATAATAATATAATATTACAAAGTTCGAAAAAATATGGATTTAGGTATACTTACACCTATTTGATTMACTTTAATATTACTGCATTTTATCAGAACCTTTAAAAATTATATTTAAAATCTCGTATGAAAAAGATTTATTGTTATATAAGTTATAGATATTCAACGTTTATTAAAATAATTCTATACAGTATGCATGCAAATATACACATAAGCCTAAATGGAAAGATTATTATTATAAAAATTATTCTTTTTAAAAATGCATTAATAGTTTGGTTCAATAGGAATAGTTCTTAATCTATACGATTAAACGAAATATGTAGGTACACRAGTAGATTTCTTTACCAAAATATATTATGTTTTATTTTCTAATGTTACGTCAACCCAAAAAAGATCTGTTGAAATAATTGATTAGTATTTGACGTTATTGTAGAACTATATCTATTACATTATAATGAAATACGATTTGGTAAAATCGTCTAAATTCGCTGCGAAAATTAATTAAATAAACCAATATGGCAATACCTATATAATACAAATCATACTTTCTACGTATAACAGTATGTTAGTATTTTAAATTTTTATTGTGKATTTCGGATTGACGGAATCCTAGAAGAGTTTATAGTAAAATTAAAACATAGTGTTATTCACTTCTAATAGGTAGCGACTAATGACAGACATGAGCATTGAGCACACTACCTACTGCTAAGTTGTTGTTAAACGTAACGTTATTTGGTAACCGGAATATAATATATATATACTTAGTATAATAATATATGATATGCATGTATAAATAAATGCATATAAAAAAAATTGTTTTTCTAAACATACATGAATTACACAATTTATTATTATGCGTATTAAGCGAAACTAGCTATTAATTTTTTTAATAGTAGTAGTGAGATCGGTAACATATTTTGCAGCGATTACAAAATAATATATATGATTATGAATTACAAAATAAATGATTTTGACAATTTCTCACAGTTTTTGGCAGTTTGAAAATAAATTGTACCTATCACAAAATAATGTATTGATTTTAAAATTTAATTCGGATATATGAATTGCTATTATTTTTGGTTACAATAATGATAACAAGTCGTCAATTGTGAATACTTAATATGCAGTTTATAATATTACAGTGTATTCGGGACTATACTAATCGACACGAAGAATACCAACTAAAAGTCGTTAATAAGTAGGTACACTTGACAACAATAAATTAAAAACCAGGGAAGTCACTCTGCAGCTGCAGTATAATACGTTCTGATCAATGATGTTGATACCTCACCAGTCACCATAATGTAAGTCATTGCGTAATGTATATATATATATATGTATTCAATTTAGATTCAATGATAGGATAATCTCAATTCATATGAAAAATGATTTTAAGTATAGATGATTCGACTATTTTGATGGATATTTTTTAATATTTATAAGTATATATTATAGGATACAGAGTATTACTGATTAGTGATTTGTGTGAATTGGTGTAAACTCTTGATGTGTGTTTGGGTCTAATACCCCCTCAATAAAATATATTGGYGAAGGCCCCCCATGTCCCCATCTAGATTACGCCTATATATGTTATTGATATGATTTTAATAGGATACATTGAATTAAGTTTTGTAGTGCGCATATAATATAATTATGTGAAGTTAAATACGTATACTGCAAATTAGAGATGTGAGGTGAATAATGTTATTAGGTAGTACATGGTTCATTTTATGGATAAAAGTAAATGTACTACGTACATTTTTATGAACATATCGTCGTATAGATTATAGACTAAAGGTACCTACACATTTTTATAAACATTTTGAAAAGGTTAAAATTAAATCCAGATTGTATGTAGGTACTAGGTAGCCAGCCAAGTATGCATTTACTTTATTGAAGATTTCAAGAAAAAAATAGTCACTCATATAAGTAAAACATTAAATTTACCTATTCAGTGAATATTGGTCGTACATTTTATAGCGTTAAATTCTCTAAAATTAATCAGTTCATCGAAACTATAGGCTTTTTATATACAAGGTCATAAAACAATTAATTATTAAATAATATAGACAAAAAAAATACAATTACTCGAACGTAAAATAGGTCCAGATACGATTTACGTTTGAATCTTCTTAGAGGGTTACCTGGAGTTGTTGGAATAGCAAGATTACACAAAAAGGAATCGTTTGTAATATTAAAATTTAGCTTCGTCATTTTGAGGTCCGAGTGGATAGTATGATTTGAGACGTAAAGAGAAGCATCAAGTAATTTTCGTAATTCTACATAACATTTTAGAAAAGTTTATGTATTTTGTTTATATTAGTCTTCTTATGTAYCGTGTATGTTGGACATTGGRCATAATATAATGGACTTCGACTATTCGGACGACATGATGGCATGGTGTTGACATTTAAATTGTTATTGTTGTTATTATTATTGTGCGTTTCCTAGTAGTGTTAAAGCATGACGTTGTAGCGTCGTAAACGATGGAAGTTTGGACAGACTTATCACGGTCTGTGTGCATTTTGTATTGTACATTTATACACGGTTATGGACGTCGGCCAATAAAAATATATATTATAGTGTCATTTCTTGCCACGAGGCATGGGGAAACGGCTGATGGTTATTAATATATATAAATGGRMGTTTTCAGAAAATAAACTCAAGTCACACAGCGTTTACATTTTTACAATTAAATGATAAAATACTACACGCGCGTCGCTAAGACATATTTTGGACTTGGCGAACGTTTCGGGTGAKCTAATGAAACGCGTTTTAATTGAACTATAGAGGTATCATCGCATATATTATAATTATATTCGTTTTACGTTTTATGCATCACAAAATATTTTTTTCACGAGTTAATTATAATTAACCATAATTATCACTGGTGATAACTGACGATAAACCTACAGCAACAGTATGAAATTTTGTGAAAAACCAGTCACGGTGTGCGATTTCTCGGCGATATGCAACAACAATAATCAATATTACTATTTACTTGCATCACACCTATACTTGGATATAAATGATATAATGAKTAGGCACCTATACTTGATGTTGTAGTCGTCGACGGAATCGAACTCTGAAATTTGTACATTTTTCTAGCAATCCAACCATTGATTTTATATATTATTATGTTCTCGAATTTTACCACTGCTGATGATCAAAACTGAAAATGAGCCAACACTAGTGTATCATATAATATTTAATATGGGATTGTTCCAGAGTTGCTTCCCGTAGGCCTAACGAAATTCCTATCTTGTTAACTAATTAATCGTAAAAATAAAAAGTCCACTCTAAACCTATATCGTATACTATTATACTATAATATATAGTCCATAATTGAACATTTTAATAAAAACATAATAAATCGTTGGCCTAATTTGCAGATAYTGTAACATCATCACAAATTGAAGATTAATATAGTTTCCACARTATTAAATTACGAGATTCTGAGAAAGAGTTAGAATTCGCGTCGTTGCATAATAAATACTAATTATAATGCTTGTTAGTGGGTTACTAGGTTACTAATACAAATCGGCAGATTTTATTATTTTTCAAATGTGAACAACCCGTCCTAAAGTTTACGTATGTGGATCGGTTGACGATATCCCGCCCTCCTGATGGCACAAAATTATAACGTAATTTTTACTGTGGCGCACAATATGGTATAATTATCTGACCGTATATATATWATCGTGTACAYTGCAGACGACACGTCACCGTAATTATGGTATGAACCATGGCGGTAGGCKTTTTTGTCACAGCAGTTGTTGTATAGTTTCGTCGCTATAAATTAAGCCGTCCGCCCTGCCCACCCTAGGCCAACCCCGTCGGTACGTTGCAAGTGACGGTAATAATATAATATTTAACATTGTTATTTGCAATGTTCGACAGACTGCCATTATATATATATATATTATTCTTATACGCTGTGTCGCGTCGCCGCCAATACGGAATTCTCATTTCGACGAACGACGCAAAAATAGAGAGGGACAGAGCAAAAGAATGAGTGTGTGCGTGCGTGCGTGCGTTCGCGCGACGTGAGTGTGGTGGGCTAGGGGGGTAGTGGGTGGATAGATGGGACGAGAGTCGAGAGAAAAAAGGTCGGCCAAACACAATAATGTACGATAATCGTTTCCGCGACGAAATATCGGTCCCCTACGCGATTCGACGATCGTCCCGCTCCGGTAGGTACCGGTTCGCGAGAAAGGGTGGAGCGATCGCACTCGGAAGGGATGATAATACAGTTTTGGGGTAAAGGCTCAATTACGTTCGCGTCCGACGGCCGTATATAATACAGATTTCTGCGCTTGACGGCTTATTGTTGAAACCGCAACAGACCGTCACGGACAACACGTCTRCGTATCATTCCTGTGCAGCAGCAGCAGCGACGACGTACACACCTCAACTCGACATCCATATATCACCGACCGCAGCCTTCGCAGATTCTCGATACCCGATCCGACTTCGCAGATTGCCGYCCGTCCGTAATAATAAGAGGTAATTATTGTCATTGTTGTCGTGTCGTTTAGACGATCCCGCGTTATGTTTTATTTATAATAATAATATTATTTCGTACGCTGTATGCGCTAATTTAGACTTTTTACAAAATGTCACGTTCATCGGTAGATATGCAATATTCAAACAAATTCGTATATTAACATATTATCCTTGTAGTAGGGTACTTATATTTACCTACCTATTATTATTTTTAAAATGTTCGATTTATTATACTACATAACCATTGCGATCCGAGATAATATACTTATTATAAAACAAATATTATTAAATTAAAAAAAAAAAAACACTGACAATATTTAAAAAAAAAAACGCAGGTATACATATAATCTCGATTACAGATATAAAAAAAATTGTTCATGTAATTATATTAATAAAGTAGTAATATATTGCAATAAAAAAGCATTACTTTATATTATGTTAAATATAAGTGTGTGATTGTATGTTTAATTACTACGCAGTATTAGCCAATCATTTATAATAGAAAATATTATGATATATTATAGTTTTAAATTATTTATAATGTTTTATAATTTATGAAAATTAGTTATCATGATATGGCATATTATGCTAAACATTTTTATTTTAATTCGAACTGATTTTGTATTCGAATTCGATATTCAAGTATATACATAAATATATAATCGAGTTCGTGTTTACTGCACTCCATGCCTATTATGAATTTAAGGGGTAAAAAAACACATGAAAAACATTTTGACGTTATTAACAAATACACGTTTCTTTTACGTCAAGTCTGTTATGATTTTGCAATTTTGTTTTTGATAAACAGTGTTATGCAATTTTGAAATCGAAAATAAATTCATCTGAAAACCCTTTCGTTTTCGCGAAATAATTGCGATCCACTTAATCTGCGATCATTATCGTTGTCTTCGACATTTCCCTTGGCCCAAACGTACGTCATGATGTTTTCGAGCCACGTGCCAAGTTTATCTGTCAACATAAAATGTTCAAAAATGTCAATCAAAATAAACTATGCACAGGTATTATATTATAATGTTTGAACGATAAAGATTTTCTGTAAATGTTTTAACCATTTTTCGAATGTCCGTTTTCCAATCAATGTCGTATTGTTGTTGTTTTTACGAAACGTTTGCTAGAATATATTTCGTAAATTATACCTCTAAAATTATATTACTATGTTTATCATATTTGAAAATAAACAAAAACCATTCCGAGAATGGCTGAAAAAAACATACACATCAGTACATCACAAAGACACGTGTGTATTTTACGCTCGGAAATGAGGAAATGTCTCTATACTTCAATAGCCGGACACATCAATGGGATTCGGTCTCGGACCACAGCTCGGTAATGGGTTTTTAATGATAATTTTTTGACACCACATGACATGACATGACTGCACTGGACCCCAAGACGATAATTATTTCGGTTCATTGGCACGTCACGTGCAGTGCTTATGGTCGTGTTCGGATATCTCGACTGTATAGAATAATATTTTGTAAAGAGACATTACAAACAATATTGTGTTTTCATTTTTTCCCGAGACAGTTTTTTGACGTGTTTTAATATTGAACATTTTTTTTTTCACGTTTACGTTGTTGCAGAACTAACCATGTCCTCTAGCTGCACGTCGAAAACTACCGACTACTACTACCAGATGAGGCAGAAGAACAACGAGGCGGCTAGAAACAGCCGTTTCAAGAAGAAGGTTGCTGAAATCGAAATATCCGTTCAAAAGCGCAAGTTGGAGGTGACATACGTGCAGTTGAAGAAGGAGATCAAACGCATACAAATCGTAAAAGCTTCTTAAACATCAATCAGGTCTGTTAAATATATTGTATTATATTATATTATGTATTTTGACGTGTATATTATATGGCGAATAACTGATAATTTATTTATTTTAAGTAAATCTTTGGGTTGAACAAAATTACAAAACACTAATATTGCATAATGTATAGACATATTATTTGTAAATATTAAATCGTTATCTTCGACATCTGGTTGTTGGTCTAGGACGTGGGTGGCCAATTTGATAAATGGGATATTTTTCAAGGAATATTTTCCGGAAAGGGGGAGGGGAGAGGGTTAAATTATAGTTATTGTTGTTTATTAGACATTGCGTATACGTGTAACAAATACCCACTGTAGAATTAACGAACAAAAAAAAATTAGTTTTATCGGATCCGCCAAAGTTGATGATTATTAAAATGACGTACGCCACCAACACTATAACAAATTCGATAAAAYATGGTTTAACGATCACTTTAAAACCATACAGTAAAACATTAATTAAAATATACAAACGAAATTATAGTGGAGCCAAGGATAACTCGAATTCGAAGTTTTGTCAGTACCAGCATTTCAATATGTACATATACACAATTTCTTTCTATATATCGAAATTTTCAATTACCTACAAGATTTTTTATTTCGTCACCGACCGATTTGAGTTATCGAGGTTTCACTGTAATAATTTTAAACCAGACATGTCTACAATAGTTGTTGATAAAAATGTTTTGCAATAGTGCTCCACCGGGGGTAAAATAATCCATAGGTATAATGGTGGTCACCGTGGCCACGGGCGGTATTCGGATTAACGAAAAAAAAAAAATGGTCGAGATGTAAAAAAAAAAACAGTTTTTGCCGCAGTTACTATATTATTGTTTTCTTGGACATTTTTATCGATTTTCTCTCTGGATCTGTTCAAACCGCAAAAAAAAAACCATTTGGGTTCAATTTCCACTCTATATATGACTAAAGAGCAACGACGTCGTTCAGTATAAATTGAAGTGGATTTATTTTTATTTTTCGTTATCGTTCTATTTTTAAATATTAGGCGCATTGATACTCATCCTCGTTATACGTTTCAAATAAATCCTCAAATACCTAGAATTGAACTTGACTTGGACATTTTCGTTTTTTTCCTCATGGCATTCATTCGCTAATCAAAATCACTTCACGGATACACTCTATTAAAGTACATATTGACATACATCCCGYACAGTAAACATCTGCACGTGTGCTGATACCCTGTGCAGTGTGCAGGACAACTGATGTTATAATTAGGTCCCCTACCGATCACTAGTAGGTATATGCAACGCAAATGACTTTCAACGTTCTCATATACATACCGTGTACAATGTATAACAATTGTATACACTAATATATCTATATTATACGACGATGACGAAATTATTATTCTGCGAAATTTCGCTTTTTCGATTTTGACCTTCGAAATAGCGCTCGGCGGTTCCCTGGAGACTYGCGGCACCACAATGCATTATTGTGTGCACCAGCGAGCGTTCTCAATCGTTTTGTGTGGTTCATTTTTGGCCGATTGTACAGTAAGTTTAACGAATAGGTATTTGGCGATGACCGCGAGTATGGCATATTATATGTATAATATAATATATAATAATATATACGTACGAATTAGAGAGTGACCTGCGGCGGCGCACTAACAAATTGTGGGTATTATATTATTATTATTACACATCACGAAATCCTATTCGYCGCGAAAAATTTAAAATATTACGATAATATGATCGACGCTCGCACCTTATACCTTCGCGTCGTATTGTAATATAATATGGTGCATGACAATCGGACCGTTTCTGATCGAAACGGTAAAGCGCACAGGATGTAATAGGTGCCACCTGTTCAGGTGTGGTGTGTGTGCATAATACTGCATATATATATATATATACACAAATATTATATTGTAATGTGAATAATAAATAATAATTTTAACCCGTACCTGGCCGTATCAAAGCGACGACAGGTATATTAGTGTTGTGTATGAGACGTCATCACTCGTGCACGGGGTATTGTCTTTTAGCGAGGTGCCCTATTTATCGCACAATAATATGTAATTAATAATTATGATTATGTCGTACGCGTCTCATAACAATATGTTGTAATAATATAATATAATTGTTATAATATCACCGCAGGATGTAAATACCGGATTATTTAACAATATTACAGTTAATTGAACGGTTTTTGTTTTATATTTCACACTACTATATTCTGTTGGTACAATATGTTAATATTGTAATGAGCGCGACAGAGGAAACCATCATGTACTGTATATGACTGTATAGGTTTTTAAATTATGTAAAAATCGTTTTGTAAACGCGGCGTTTGAACATACTACAACATAATATTATCGTGTTGGTGTTTATAAAAACGTTTTAATAAGCAACACACGCAATCGTATTTTTCGAGCAACGAAAACAGTAGGCAATAAAATTATATAAGGCCATTGTCAAAAAAATAAACATCGCCGAAACCGTCCATAACCGAYATAATAGGTAATAATAATACGTCATTCGTCGCATGCAAACAGTACAATATTTACACTATTTACGCTAAACATACCAGCGACTGTTATTAGACACGGGTGGGTACACTTACGTCGGTGTATATTTTGCTGGCACCGCGTGCCACTGTCGTTTATTGTGCATCGAATGCCGATTTGTGTTCTTTATGTAAGATATTTAAGCACCTAATAATCATTGTTAAAAAACTTCCTGCATGATAATATGTTATTATTATTGTACATTTATAAATTATTAACGTGTGCATAATATTATTATACGGTATATGCAATAGGTACAATGTACAATTTATTATTGTCAAGGGAGCAATGAATTGTTGGCCCTCGATATTTAGTACTCGCGTTCCAATTGTTGTCAGCGTATTATTTACTCTTTATTTTGCTCAGGCCAAACTTTGCCACCCAGAAATATTATATAATGACGTTAAGATTACCAATTTGGACCTATAATGAGTTATTTTGACGCCTCAAATTATTGTCACATAAAACAATTCGTTAAACCTCAATATATATGACTGTTAACATGCATAAAATACATTTACCTGGTGTATGTAACTGAACGACATACATACACTTTTATTTATGCAACTTGTTTCTGCATAAATATATGTGATTATATCCGTGTATTATAGAAACTTTTTTTTAATGGTCCTAAACATTATTTTTATCGCAATAGATAACAAAAAATATGTTGTCTGGAATTTATAATGAAAAAAAAAAAATTAAAAGATAATCACGTTTAACTATTATTACCTCAAATTGTGTAACATTTTGATAAAGTAGGTTGGTAGTGATTCATTTAAAAATAATTTTAAAACTGAAATACTAATTAAATAACTGGTCAATTTGTGGCCCAATATGTGCAAATAATTCAACAAGTACCACACTTAGGAATACTTTTTATACACTTGACTCTGAACACAATGTTAACAGAATTGTTGAACGACGTCTTGAGAAAGTGATTGAAATATTTAATTATTATTAGGAATTACTAATTAATATAAATAAATTATTGTCGCTTTCAATTGTTTATTGAATTTTTTAGTATACAAATAGAGTAACTCATTTTAATGTAAATTCTCTATCTTTATTTTTTTTTTTTTTAAATCATTATTTAGTTTGACTAGATATATACTTATATATTTTTACCRAGATTATGCATAATCATAATATTTTTAATACCTATTAAATGTTTATGTTTTAATAAATTAGTGAAAACAATTACAAATTAATATAATAATGAAATGATAATTGTTTTACAGGCTTTTCCCGTGATCATGGTTGCAATATGAACAAAAAAATTTTTTTCAACTGAAAATTTTAAGTAAAATAAATTATGCAAATGGATTCTGTTGAATTTCTAGTCAAATACATTGTACAACACTCAATAGTTTGACTGTAATTTCTACAGGAATGAAATACAAATATAAAATTTTTACTACCAATATCTATTATGTAAAAGACAATATTTTCAGGATAAAAATAATGTATTTTTTGCTTTTTAAACTTATATATTTTTATTTAATTATTATTATTATTATTATTACTTTTTCCTATTATTATTATTATTCTCTTTTTTTTTTTTTGTAACGTACTTAAAGTTTTTCATAATATTATTTATGTAAAATTATTATTTTTATTACAATTTTTTTTTTCGGATTTTGTAAAAGATGTCGGCATAATATATTATACACCGTACAGTTAAATGTAAAAAATATACATATCTATTGAACATAATTTTGCAATCACTTTGCTTTTTGTTTTTCCTTCTCTATTTATAAATCACATAATATCGTAAGATGTTTTAAATCCCAAGCGGATATAGATAATATTACTGTTATATAGATTAGAATTCTTTTTGATTTCAACACATTTTGTGAGCAATACGAGTACTTATGAATTAATATTTTCAAGTCCATATGTATAGACGCCGTATTATRATATGCCTAAAATAAATAATARGTATGATTAGTTGTTGTTGCGAGCATGGAACAAWATATCATTTTATGGTAGAAATAATGATCATTGTATATTTTCAGATTTATTGAAGAGTTTTATAATTATACTTTTAGTTATCAGCAAACATATCGATCGCACATGCATGGCGAATAGACGTGTATACACGTGCAATACAATTATTACTATTGCAATACCAAAAAAACTTGTATGACAGTATAATATGCATATTAACACGTTTAGATTTAAATCACGAAAACTCTTAGCTATATAGGTATGTCTTAGATCGTGCGGTTGACGTTTTAAGTGGGTACTCAAAAATGCTATCTTACATAACCCTTGTCTATTATAATACGCTTAAGCAAATTACTTTTACACGCACGTTATGATAGCGAAGGTAATACTACCGACTTCTGATTTAGAATAAGACGCTATAATTCCGTTCATCGTTATAATATAATATTATTATTAAAATATTATACTGCATAGTACAAGCCGCAAAATAAATTTACCAACCCACACAACAATACCTACCTATATAATAATATAATGCCTCGTATTAAAGAGGAACATGTTATTATATAATATTATCTATAGGGCTTTTATTACTAATCTCACTTCTCTCCCTCCCACCATATCACCTAACAATATTTTATTTTTTAAGTACACAATAATAATTAACAAGTGCAGAGTAAGTACTTAATAGACAACTAGGAAAAAAAAATATCTGAAATTTGGAAAATATACATTAATTATAATATTATATTATATATCAATTACCAATACTAAGGCTCATATTAAAGGTACGAGATGCCTACAAAAAAATGAATAGTATGCAATAGTGCAATGTGTTATTAGTAGGTAACTATGCAATTATTGCAACATTTGRCATAATTAAAATTTAAAAGTTTTTACTATTAGTTAACTAGAATCAAGTTCAATATAAAATCATGCTTTTAATTTTTAATTTAAACCATGTAATTGTAAGTTATCATATAACTATTTACAACAATAAAGAAAACTTGATATTAAAAAAAAAACTGTAATTTTTAAATTCGTCTGGTGAACATTAAATTTGTTCATTAATTGCCTTATCGATCCTAAAAGAAAAAAATAGTACTGTCGGAGATAACAAATTGAACACATATTAATAACCTATAAGTACACACTGAGACATTGTACTGTACCTAATCCAAATTTAAAATACTCTTCTAGGTTTTATTAATTAACTGAAGGCCAATCGCTACATTTTAGTTATATGATATTACACTCCTAAAAAAAGTTTGGTGATATTAATTACATTTACCTATGTATTGATAAGATGTAATAAGCGTATAAGTGCTTATTAATAATATTGACATGATAAAAAATGTGTGACACGATAACTTTATTGTCATACAATCGTCTTAACTCTTAAGAAAAATATCTATTCCTTGTGTACATTTGGTATAATATCATTATTAATTAAGTTAGGTTTTATAATATATTCCACATTGTTATGTAACACACATCAGCCACTAAAAATAATTTTGTACCGCACACAAATACATAATGATGTACGAGTATTATGCACGTTAAAATTGTCAAACACGATAAAATATAGGCCTATTTTTTTGTCCATTTTCAAGGAGACAATAATTATTGAATATAGTATATCATATAATTATAAGTATAACTGTTAATTTCACGACTAAACATTTATTTATTTTAATGAGTTTATATATATTTAAAATAATTGTATAGGCATTTAGAATTGTAGAGTTTTCAACATTTAAATAATTACTGTAAC